TAAAAATATATAGTGTTACTCCCTCATCACTTATGGTTTGTTTTGAATAAAAAATGTGTATAATAATGCACGAGAATGCACCTTTATCGTCACTATGATACCTTGTACATGAAATACGTCACTATGAAACGCCTGCACGTGAAATACGTCAAATGTCATACGAGTGTTTACTAGTTTGAAAGTGATTCAAAAACACAGTCATACTCATGATATGGTCAGAATCGTATAATAATTGTGTAATAAAGGTTTTTGTCGCTTTTATTTAGTCTTTGGTACGATGTATGCTATAGGGACGATTGGGTGACCCTGTGGAAACGCATTCGGCCAATGCGCCGTAGACCTGGGTTCTGTTCCCGACTTCGGTACAATGTGTGAAGTCAAGTGTCCCCGGTATAATGCTGGAATAATTGCTAAATCGTGGGTCAGTCCTAAATGCACTGTTTCTACTCTTGATCGCTTAATGATATCATAGTGCAGTATTAAACCAGTTAGAGGCCCGTGAAGATTCCGGGATAGAATAGGTCTTCAGCAACCCATACTTGCCGTAAAAGGCGACTATGCTTGTCGTAAAAGGCGACTAACGGGATCGGGTGGTCAGGCTCGCTGACTTGGTTGATACATGTCATCGATCCCAATTGCGTGGATCGATGCACATGATGTCAATCACTGGATTGTCTGGTCCAGACTCGATTATTTTACAGACCGCCGTCATATAGCTGTAATATTGCTGATTGCGGCGTTACACAACAAACAAACAAATTAAACCAGTTAGAAGCCTGAGGCTGTTACATCATCGGAAACTATTTTCAGCTGGCATACAGTGACTCAAGAACGATGTTACTCTGCAGGTAATTTTTAAGCAGAAAATAGGCACAAACCCTTTGGAACTATTTCAAAAGCCAATCAGCGATAGTTTAAGATTCTAATTGTTTTGTGGGACCACCAAATCATATCAGGTAAATATACAGGTATATATTTACTTTATGTGGTATGCTGGTTACGATCGATTCTTTTATAATTTCAGTGGATTAGAAACATAAAACGTGGGTTGTGGAATGTTGGCACTGCTCGACTGTACGCAAATAGGGCGACTCTATCCACTGACGCATATAGGGCGATGTTGTGTGAGCTCTGACGTAACGTATACAGTATGCCTCAGCATCCCCCTACACCTGGTGTTATGTAAACTAGTTTGTGTCTCATATTTTCAACACTCCTATTTTGACAAAAACATATGCTATCATCCATTATTCCATTATATTTTTACACGCTGACAGCTACTAAGTGAGTGAGTGGGGTTTAACGCCGCTTTTGTTATAGTATTCCAGTTATATCACGGCGTGTCAGCTTAATGTGGGAGGAAAGCCCGAAGTGATGCAGGTCTCAGACGTTTACCACTTCGGTGAAACCCACGAGCACGGGTATGGTGCTGACAAATCTAGAAACATAATTGGGGAGAACCGGGATTCGAACCCACAATCATAGGTTTCTGGCGTGCCCAAGGGAGGCAACTCTGCACAGCGAATCGCGGCGCCTTAGACACCCGTGCCTCCTGACTGCTACTGCCTTACACGTCATGTTTGTATGCACGAGATGGCTGGAGCAGAACAAGTGGTTTTTTTATTGATAAACTGTAAATAATGTAAGATCGGGCTCGATTCTCCAAGAAGATATAATGTACGAAGACAATTTGAGTTGTCCTGTGAAAGGCTGGAAGAGCGTGGAGTCAATTCGCACGTCTCACTTATAAGTCAACAGCTGACAGTATCGTTAACAGCTGTGTCCTATGTTATTTTATCCATGTGATATATTTGAATATTCATTATGAATCTGTACACTTGGTTTCTGTGTGATGGTGTGCTGTTGACTGTCCCATCCATGCCTTGAACTGTGTGGGTTGGGGTTTTCCCATGTAGTAGTGGACTAGGTTTTCTTGTGCCGTGTGCCCTGGTTGTCTCCCCTTCTTATATTTCAGCTCACGCAGTGGTGTCAGGGGTTGTCACGTCGTATATCTAGAATAAACACCAGAAAAAACAAAAACATTAATCTCAGCGATCTCTCACAACAGTGTAAACGCGTGTTTATCAACATGAACAAACAAACAACACTAAAGTTTATGTACGAATTGCTTGAGTTGCGGGTGCTACCGGCGGAGCAGGATATGCTGACACTTTTCGCGACACCTGGTGTCAAAACTGATTTTCAGTGATCCATTCATATAACTGTCGCATATTTTTACCTTTTACGCCCTCAGGAATCTGTTTCACCTGATAATCAAGACTGGTTATTCTCTGGCGTTGTATTTTATAGTTGATATCATTTATTCATAAATATGATTAAAAAGACACCTGGTGTCACTCGTGTACGGGGGCGGTCGGGTAGCCCAGTGGTTAAAGCGTTCGCTCGTCACGCCGAAGACCCGGGTTCGATTCCCGACATGGGTACAATGTGTGAAGCCCATTTCTGGTGTCCCCCGCCGTGATATTGCTGGAATGTGCTAAAAGCGGCGTAAAACCTTACTCACTGCCTTACTCACTCGTGTACGTGTACGTACGATGAGTCCCAGGTAACCCGGCCTGTACCGTCCCTGGGGAGCCCCGGAGGAAACACGTTAAGTAATCTCACAAAGATTACAATATCTACTTGAGTGGATGTATCAACGTCACCCACTGATTCAGCAGACGCACTATCGGTGATATAGATACCAGACGGGCAATTACAGTGTTTATGTTATAAAAAGTGTCTTTGACTCCAAATACATCAACACGTGTGTATTAAAGTAGAAGATACCCGAGGATGTAGCAGTGAGTGTTTGTCAAATGTAACAAATGTTCTAGTTCGGATTACACGAGGAGCGTTGGTATGTTTGAATGCAGATGACATGAGGATGAGTGTGCACTCTGGAGTATTCTTTAAATACATATTTTTCTAAGATGTGTTGAATGGGATCAAAGGTGTATCTACAGTTATTAAGCAGCATCTGAATAATTAATAACAAAATTTAGGCACATTTAGGCACATTTAGGCAGAAATACAAGTTAGGTGTGCACTACTTAACTAAAATTAAAATAATGACGTAAAATACAGAAAGCAAAGTTGACATCGTGTTCAATGACGTCACAATACATATAATAAGACTGGAACAGTCTGTCAAGGTTGAATGGCCCTGTTAGCTTGAGACGTGGCTTTGTCGATAGAATACACTATTCCTTCACTACTCTTAATTTAATTAAATATAACTGATTTTAGAAAACCTGTTTAAGAGAAACATGTATTTCACATTAATTCTGACATTCGTTCCGTTACATCAGTACGACAGATGCAATCGTGTAAGTATCTTTATTCATGTGTTTCATGTGAAATGCTATGTTTATTTGAAAACACCAGCTCGTTAATCCACTCAGTGAGATAACACTCTTTACCGGAACTACTTTTTCAGTCTGCCTCTCTGTGGGCAGAACATGGCACACCATGGCACAACATTTGACCCAGACTAACATGACCTCTGTATATTCGACCAAAGGTAGAACGATACTCGAGAGGAAGCGGTAAATGTACCTAAATTATAACCGGATCAAGGCGACGTGTCCCCTTCTATATTTCTCACTCGTGACGTCATAAAGTTATGTAAATATTAAGCGATAACCATATTGAATAAAGTATCTCATATTTTAAAAATTAATAAAAGACAAAAAACTTTTCCATGCTCATAAAAATTAATGTTCAAATATCTCATATTGTTTTAAATTGAATGAACATATTTGCGTACAGAAATGGAATATATGAATATATGTCATTTCCTGAGAACAACAATTTACAATTGTCTTAACAATTTCAGCATTTCCAGTGAATAGTTGACACTAGCAGGCTGAAAGTAGTTCAACCATAAAGTGTTATTTCACTCGAATGAAATATTGATTATATTTTTCTTCATATTTGATCTTTCAGTATTAAAAGTGACATTAAAATCAGATATTACACATTCTCGTTTGAAAACAGTTAGCGACACATGTTTGTAATGCCGTGATATTATTCATTATTGTATTTTCCTAAGCCTGTTGTGATTATATAATAACAAATACATGTAGAATGTATTCAGTCGTAAGTGGTCATCGGTATCCTTTCGATCAATATTAAGAATTTTACAATAACAACAAAACTTAACGATCATTAGCCAAGAAAAGCATTGATTTAGTTTGAAAAAAATTCCCAATACCATCTAATTTGAGCCTTCTTTGATAGGCATTTAGAGTTGGAGTACTAAGTAAGGATAAGAATTTATGGATGAACAACTTCTTTATTTCAATTAAGAGGTTAAGTGATAAACTTGTCAACCACACTCTTTATATCACTTGCTTGATAACGGTGTTAGAACCTACACCGAAACGTCGCTCTTAATCCTTACCTAATTTGAGCCGTCCAATTTGCCCAGAATTCATACACACGCCAAGAATTGTTCTAATGGGTTGTAGTGACATGCGAACGCCTGATCTACATCGTAGAAACAGCTCCGTCAATAAGGGCGATGGGAGATGGCCACTAATTAACATACCAGGTCAGACCATATATACTCTGGTTGCTAAGCTACCAGCGAAAGCCAGGTTTGAGAGGTACAAGCTCGTTGATTTAATGCTATTTACAGTACCAATTTCTGATTGACAATGAAATACAAATGTGCTTTCTATTGAGAGTTTAGGATAATGTTTAATACTTGTTTAAATTTAGATGTCAGTATCGTTGACATTTATCCAAGTGAGATCATTGGCATCTGTAGGTTGTTCCACAATGTACCCTGAAATGAAGTAAAAATGTTCAGGGAAAATAGGATATATATTTCATCACGTGGTATAGTATGGCACATACAAAATATAAAGACACAAGGGATGTCGTTCCCACACCTTACCTGAGAGACGCTATGGGAGTGTGATCATAAGGTGCTGCCTGCACTAAATACTACCGACATCTTCTTCGAGGACCAATCCCCTTCATACAAAGGTGCAACTTCTTCAAGAACCTTTTCAAACCTCATATTCAGCTGTATTTCCCTGAACCATATTGTCTTTGTCTGGGAGCGGGGTCCCCCAAAGTCAGACGATGCTGCTCCCAACGTTATCCCCGACCTCCGGTTTGTTATAACAGTTATCGATAGCTACACCTGTTGGCATTTGCTAACGTCACAGTCGGTCTTCCACTAAGAAAAACCATCCTGGCCCAGTATTCCGAGCCAACAGTGCCAAACAACCTTACCGTACGGAGCGGTCACTCCCTGTGGTCATTGACCAACTTGTAGGACACTCAGAGGCAGTGTCCGTGTAACTTACATTTGAAGTCGGGCCAAAGGATTGTATATATGTAGGTAGCTGTGTGACAGGCAGTGTTTGTTTCCAATTGGAATCCCGGGCGAGAAGTAATGTTCCCGCATTGGCAAGAGTGAGTATTTGACGTTTTGTTTAATATCTGTGGTTATTTCATTGTCTTGAGGACACACGGTACAATTAAAACAAAGACCAAATATGGTTAATCGACTAAGATGCTGATTATGATTCCTTTGATGTACATGTATACTGCTACAGCTGTATCTGGTCATGTATATGTAGAATGAAGGTACACGCGCACGGTATATGGAAAGTTCTTTCATCGTTAATGTTACATGTCAACTGCTTCACTTCTACTACAACTACTTCATGTCAACTACTTTCATATATGTAGTTGCATAATCGGTTGTGGTCGTGCATACGTTGTTGGAGTTTTTTCCAAATCAAAATTAATATTTTAGATACACTATTTTTATCAACGAGTCGTTTTCATTAAGGGCCTTGTACTTTATCGTGATACATATTAAAAAAAACCTTTTCTTGTTCATGTCAAAATCATTGTCTCTATTAACATGAAAACCCGAACGTCGCTGTATGTCTATGGGGCGTACTCAGTGCTATTGGGTAGTGGCGTTGAGACACTGACGTTACCGCTTGCTTTATAATCAAAATGTACAAAAGAAGTAGGTGAAATAAGGCTCCTTGTCTGATCCTTGATTTCTTTACGTAGTCTAGCCTTGGTCTTCACTTTCCAGATGTTTAATAAAGCTTCAAACCCATTACCACGATCCATCTATTTTCCATAATCAATATATAGTATTCAATATGTAGTAATCAATATGTTGTAATCAATATGTAGTAATCAATATGTAATAATCAATATGTTGTTATCAATATGTAGTAATCAATATGTAATAATCAATATGTTAGAATCAATATGTAGTAATCAATATGTAATAATCAATGTGTGGTCAATATGCAGTAATCAATATGTTATAATCAATGTAGTAATCAATATGTTATAATCAATGTAGTAATCAATATGTTAGAATTAATATGCAGTAATCAATATGTTATAATCAATGAAGTAATCAATATGTTAGAATCAATATGCAGTAATCAATATGTTATAATCAATGTAGTAATCAATATGTTAGAATTAATATGCAGTAATCAATATGTTGTTATCATTGTAGTAATCAATATGTTAGAATCAATATGTAGTAATCAATATGTAATACGAGTAATCAATATGTAGTAGTCAGTTTGTTAGAATCAATATGTAGTAGTCAATATGTAATCAAAGCATTATTTTGACACACTTTCAGTTCATGTATTATAAGTTATTTCCAGTTTATACGAACTCCTGTTGCTGTATAGTACAGTGTTGTAAACTAAAACTAAAACGAGTGGCCCCTTTGAGTTTGTTATAACGTAGTTTACTGTAGAGAAAAAAACACAAAAACTTGTCACAAACAAAGGTGCAAATAACATTCCCCGGCTGTTGTTTCAATGCATCATATCATTGGATGTTTCTCGAAGCATTCCATGGATGACACGCACACCGTGAGACACAAGGTACTCCTGTTGGCGATGCATCAAGATGACCTCTGCTTACCCTTTCCCCTTTAACCCACAATACATAAGTAGGGCAAATCTTTTGTTAACAGGTGGCCATCCATTTGGCACATCAGAGCTGATTACCAGATAGGTAGGAGTTCCCGGAGCTTGGCCCTGGCGGTGTTCCATACTTCTGTCGCCCTTATTGTCAAGAGGTGCATCTCACTCTGTGAGCACCTCAACTAAACGCACTTTATGGTGATGTATCCACTGGGTGTCCTTTTGGGTTCTTTCCATACGTTTGCTCTTCCGGCGCTACTGTGTAGGTCTTGCGAGTTTCTGGGATGATTTCTCATGCTGATAACTGTTTTCTTTTCTTGCATCCTGGGGTTTTCGTGCGTGTGGTTGGAGTGTTTACACTGACCTTTGTGTGTTTGTATACGTATCGGTTGTGTAGGTCACATTGTAGCAGATGGTGTGATAATATCGAGGTTGCATCTACACCAGGTGTCCCGTTTCGCGAAAACCTGGTGTCTCACTATAATGGTGATGATGATGATAGTGTTGTTGATGATGATGATGATGATGATGATAGTGTTGATGATGATGATGATGATGATGATGATGATAGTGTTGATGATAATGATGGTGATGATGATAATGATGGTGATGATGTTGATGATAGTGTTGGTATAGATGATGATGATGATGATCTCAAGACACTTTGGGAATGCCAATACTGCGACACAATTCTACCTATAAATGTATGCAAACTACGAGTCTAGATACACTGTACCTCTAAACAGTGATAGCGTGTTTGGAACAAGAACGTCTGTTATCACTTAAACGGGTCAATGTAGCATAGTCGAATGATAAGAATTACTTTAGATCTTCTCGCGTGACCCAGATCTCAATTCCGTAGATCTCAGAACCTTTCTAAAGGCACCCACAATTCTTAATGCAGATTCAGCCAATGCATGAGTTTTACACCCAGTGGAATCACAGTTATAAAACACACAGAGACATACAGCACCAATAGAACTTATGGGGAATCTGTCACTCGCTTTCACTGTTAGGGGCGGTGGGTAGCCTTGTGGTTAAAGCATTCGCTCGTCACGCTCAAGGCCCGGGTTCGATTCCCCACATGGGTACAATGTGTGAAGCCCATTTCTGGTGTCCCCCAGCCGTGATATTGCAGGAATATTGCTAAAAGCGGCGTAAAACCATACTCACTCACTCGTATGACACAATATGACCATAAAGTATGTCATCGGTTCCACGCAATGTCCATGTCAGCTGCCAGTAGTATAGGATATCACTTTGGTCTTCGGTGACCGATCATTTCCTGGGGTTCCACAGGAACATGTATACACAGTTTACTGGTAAGATATCGTCATGATGCTGATGTCGGGTCCAGAGGTGTAACTGTGTTTACAGGAAGTACAGGTACAGGTCGGTGATGGCGGCCACGTGGGGGCGGGCATGTACACATGCACTCACCTGTGTGGTGGAAGGTTAACTCCAAGATATAGACTCACAGGTGGAAGTCATTTGCTATTTTTTGTTCTTGATTATCTGTCGTTTGCCATAAACCTCCGAACCAAACTAATCTCTTTCCTGTAGAACGCGCGTTATCATGAACGAGATAATATTTTCCTTTCCACTTTCATAACTTGACATTTCAGCTTTGTGTTTCATTGTTTTATTTCGAAGGTACCGCGTTAAAGAAAATGACTGGAATATTAACATAGTTTTAAAGTAAAACAAAAAGTAGTTTTTTTACAAAATAGTTACTGTTTCGTTATTCAATAATCTATAATGAGAGAATTATCTGATTATTATCTAAAGCACTGTTTTTTTATTGAACACTAAGTAAATGTATATTTCTTAATGACAATTAAAAGCGACAAAATGCTTTCCCTATTCATAAGCACTCTCTGCTAAAAACAGTCGAATGTACGATTCCCACTATATCATGATCACGTGTTTATGAATCACTATCAAATAGTGATGACACCAGGTGATCGCGAAAAAGTGTGCGTATCCTGCCCTATCCACCCTCACAAACACAAGCAAAGGCAAGTCAATTATTATATTTCTTGAGTTATGGCTTCATAACGTTCATATACATATGTTGACGTATTTGAAATGAAGTACTTCCAAAGCCGTCATATAGCTGGAATATGGCTGAGTGCGGCGTTAAACAACAAAAGAACAAACAAACAAACAAATACTTCCTGGTTAGTACAGGATGTAGTGGTTAGTGACTCACGTGACTAATTCCGATATTCCGTCAATATGACGTCACTGTCAACAGAGAGCCGTGTGATAATGAACATCACTATTCTACAGGAATGCAGGAATGTTTTTCGCACATTCTTAATCCATGTTGTGTTTTGTGATTATGCAATGTACAAATAATGTAGGACATTAACAATAGCAAGGCCTTGATGTATCCATATTTGTATTTCTGTCAAATACAAGGGGAAGGCGCTGGAAGAGCTCGTACGATAAGAAACTGCACGAATCACAAAGACCGACTCGGCTATTAAATATTCTTCGTTTATTCGGATCCACTCGGCCTGTTCCGTTATCTACACAAGGCAGCATCACTATTTGATGATTCCTAAACACATGCTTATAGTCGGAATTGTACAATGGCCTCTGGTTTCAGTAGACATTCCTTATGATTATGGAAATAGTGTTGTCTCTTTTATTTACATTAAACCTCGTGTAGCAATAGAGTAGTGATATTGCACCGCAAACCGACCGATCCCTTCTCATCCAATTTGTATAAAATGACGATTGATTTGGAGAAGAGATTTTTTTATGGTTAATAGATATTAGTATGTAATGTCGGGCAACATTTATGAGATAGTGAAGACTGCCGTCAAATTATTTTCGTTTGTTGGTTGTCTAACACCGCAGTTAGCAATACAACAGTTATATGAAGACAGCTTGCAAATCCAGTGATTGACACCATAAGCATCGATCTACGCAATTGTGATACTATGACGTGCATCGATCAAATCAGCGAGCCTGGCCGTTAGTTGACTCTTACGACAAGCATGGGTTGCTGAAGACCAATTCTGACAAATTGAGATAGCCAAGTGAACGAATGAATCTGGTGAATCTAGTTCTAATATGGATGCCTCCCAGTTGGCCGAGATGACCAATGACACTGGTGTGAGCCGAATGATTATTAGTTATGGAATGTGCCACAGTATTGCGAAGTGTATTAGTAGAATACACCGCAACACCGCGTACAGTCATCTAGCAAAACCAACTTGACATACATAGGTACTCCCTTGGCCAGAGTTCAAACCCTGTCATTGCACACTTGACGAGCATTTGGCACGCCATGGTTAGAGACTTGTTCCTGAATCTAGTCGAGTGGTGGACGACGTAAGATCGTTTCTCCAGACGACGGTAAGTTTTCTTAATATTTTTAAACACATCTTATCAATTATGGTAGAACTGAATTCCGACTTCCACACGGAATACTTGTGTTGAAGATAACGGGACAATTAGTGTCAACTCACTGAACGATGACAT